AAAGGAATGAAATTGCCTAGTGAAATTGCAGAGTTAAATGCAATGTAAATAATTGATGTGCTTTAGTATATTAATATAAAAAGAAGCTTAAATTAATTTGATCTTAAACTGTAGCAAGTTATTAGAGAAAAAAGTCTGGACATGTTTCATACCTGTATGATGAGTTTTTCTCATCATTGTGAGTAGGTAGGGAGTATGTGAACATTTAGAGCTGTTTAATCTCTTCATTTGGCAGCCATTGTAGTAGATTATATGAATAGATCCCTTTTCATCTTTCTGATAAGAGATAGCTATATATAAGGGGAATTCAACCCTCCACTCCTTCTACGTGCCAGTTTTTTCCTGCCTTCTCAAGAAAATATCCATAGCAATCACTGTCTTATCTTTTTTTTTTTTTGGTTTTATCTTTAAGAAAATACGTGTTATAGTCAATGTTCAGAACAGTTCAGCCCTTGTTTTTAATTCTCTTTAGGCTTTTTTTTTTTTTATTATTTTTGCATTAAAAGGTTATCCTTTCTAATTTCTATCCTTTCTAATCGTCTTCAAATACTCAGTCCCATTTCGGATTATTCTCTTTTTGTATCTTTTCAGGCAGCACTGTGGAAACACCTAGGAGCCCCAGCAGTTACTTTAAACTATTTTAGTAGCACTGTCAGATGCTCTGGAGGGGAAAGGATAATCTTATTGCCCAAGAAAGATGCTACCAAATGTATAAGATATTAAGCAAAATGGAATTTGTAGTGTAAAATCCTTTGTAATGACACTTTACCAATTATAATTTGATAATTTACTTTTTAAAAGCTTTATTGAAGTGTAATTTACATACCATAAAATTCACCTGTTCTAAATGTACAGTTTACTGATTTTAAAAATATACAGAATTGTACAGTCATCAACCATAATCTAATTTTAGAACATTCCATCACCACATCACCCCCAGAGAAGATTTGTATCCATTTGCAATTATTCTCACTCCCACTTCAGCCATAGGCAACCATTAATCTACTTTCTCTCTCTATGCTCCTTACTTTTTTTTAAAAGATTTTACTTATTTACTTGAGAGAGAGAACACAAGCAGGGGGAGGGGCAGAGTGAGAGAGACAAGCAGACTCCCTGAGTGGAGAGCCTGACTTGGGGCTCCATCCCACGACCCTGACATCATGACCCAAGCTGAAGTCATGCGTAACTGACTAAGCCACCCAGGCGCCCCTCTATGCGGTTTACTTTTATGGACATTTCATATAAATGAAATAACATAATCTCTTGTCTTTTGTGTTTGGCTTCTTTCACTTGGTGTGATGTTTGTACACATTGTTGCATGTATTAATATTTTGTTCAATTTTTGTTGTTGAGTAGTATTCCCATCAGACATATCACCTTTTGTTTTTCCATTCACCAACTGATACACATTTGCGTTGTTTCTACTTTCAGGCTATTCTGAATAATTTATTTTATCAACATTTGCATACCATTCTTTGTGTAGCATAAACTTTCATTTCTTATGAATAAATATGTAGGGGTAGAATTGCTGAGTCATGTGGTAAATCAGTATTTAACATTTCAAGAAACTGCCAAATGTTTTCCAGAGTCATTATTTATATGGTAATGTGTGAGGATTCCAGTTTCTCCACATTCTTCTCAGCATTTTTTACTGTATGTCATTTTTATTATAGCCATTCTAGTGGTAGTGAAACAGTATGCCATTGTTGTTTTAACTTTCATCACTATCATGGTATATCCATGTTCTGTTGTTGTTGGTTGGAGTTTTCTATTAATGTTGATTTTATCCTGTTGATTGATGGTATTGTCTCATAGCCTTGTTGAATTTGTCTGTCTGTTCCATCAGTCATTGGGAAGGGATATTGTTTGTTTCATACGTTTTCAGATTCTTTGGTGCTCTGAAATTTGACAGTTATGTGTGTTGTAGGTCTATTTTCATCTACAATGCTGACCCTAATTGTACTCTTTTCAATTTTATTTTTTTTAAGATTTTGTTTATTTATTTGAGAGAGAGAGAATGAGAGAGAGAAAATGAGTGGGGAGGAGAGGGAGAAGCAGGTTCCCATGAGCAAGGAGCCTGATGTAGGGCTTGATCCCAGAACCCTGGGATCATGACCTGAGCCAAACGCAGGTGCTTGACGGACTGAGCCACCGAGGTGCCCCCTCATTGTTCTCTTTCAATGTGGAAATTCATGTCCTTCAGTCCTGTACAGTTTTCAGTTATTTATTTTGATTTTTTCCTTATTTTCCCTGTACTCTTTCTGAAATTCCATTTATTTGGATATTGGTTCCTCTAAGCCAATCTTACCTTTTTTCCCCCCCTTATATTTCAGGAGATATCCTCAAGTTTCTCTTCCAGCTTTCTACTGATTTTTTTTTTGCTATCTTATTATATCCTGTTTTTAATTTCTAAATCTTTGTTTTTTGTCTCATTTGTGTTTCACATATACAATTTGCTCTTATCTCTCAAGGATTTCTCAAAGTCAGGTTTATTGAGATATAATTTACATATGATAAAAATTCACTCTTTTTGGTGCATAGTTACATTAGTTTTGACAGGTAACTACCACCATAATCAAGATGGAAAACAGTTCTTTGGGAGACTTGAACCATCACTGATGTCAGTATTTTTATTTATTTATTTATTTATTTTTAAGGTTTTTTTTATTTATTTGACAGACAGAGATCACAAGTAGGCAGAGAGGCAGGCAGAGAGAGAGAGGGGAAGCAGGCTCCCTGCTGAGGAGAGAGCCCAATGCGGGGCTCCATCCCAGGACTCTGGGATCATGACCTGAGCCGAAGGCAGAGGCTTAGCCCTCTGAGCCACCCAGGTGCCCCTGATGTCAGTATTTTTAGACGTGTGTGTATGTATGTGTGTTTTCCTCTGGGACTGATCAGAGTTCCCAAAGGATCTTCTGTTCTCTTCCTGGAGTGTAGTATAAGGCTGGCTGTAAGCTTCCATGAGACCAATCAATGGTAGAAAGAAGCTTAGATCTCAACATGTAGTATGTAAACTTTCACTTGATGCCCTTTTAGACGATATTCTTCTCCTTCATTTGTGCCTGGTGTTTCCTATCTCAAGGACTCTTGTTTTAAATTTTCCATACAATATTTACTGGAATGGGGAAAGTGAAATTGGAGCTAATTTCGTCTTAAATGGATATTCAGTCATTCTCCTTCTTCTTAAGCCCACATTTCCCCCCACTTCTTGAGGTCTTCAATATTGCCAAGTCCTGAACCTTTGGGGATTCTGCTTTTACCTTTCCTCATTGCTGATTTAGGACTTGGCTTTCTCAGATCTGCTTTCATTTATCACTTTTGCTTTGCAAAATGTTACTGCCATCAACTCATCTTTTCTTCTTTGTCCTTATGGGTTTTATGCCTTTAAAAACCCTTTACTATCATTGTGATGAGGTTTCAGGGAAGGATAGAAGTAATTGCTTAACTTTAGTCCATTATCTTTAATTAAAATTCCCCCTTTCTTTAAGAAAGAAAAGCTTACCTTGTGCAAAAGATCCTTTATGATCCAGCTTCTGTCTTTCCAGCTTCACTTTTTATTCTGCTACAGTCCACCTCCAGCCTAAGCTCTAGTCACATGCATCTTCTTAAGAGATTGCCAAACAAGCCATGTTGCTTCATGCCTTTCAGTTCTGCACATGCTATGTTTTCAATGTGCTGTTTGTCCCTTAAGTCTCTGCTCAGTGAAGCTTTGCTGACTCACATGACTGCCCCTCTATTGGAGTGTTTATTATATTGCTGCAATTATTTATTTCTTAAAAAGTCTCATCCTAAAGGTTTTTTAATCTGGGCGTGCAGCTGGAAGGGATGCCCATGGATTAATGGCAGGAAATCTCAGGATACCCTGAAATTATTTGCAAATTTTCATGTTTGTGCATATTTTTGGAAAATTCTCTAAAGCAGATTTTCTTCTAAGAGTGTACATCAGAAATGCTGTGGAGCTTTTTAAAAATATAATTGCTTTGGGCTTCACTCCAGATACCTGCTGAGGTATAATCTGAAGTTGGGGGCCAGAGGATATATTTCCTAAAGCTTCCCAAGTGATTCTTTAGAAGAGCATCTCTGGTCTGTCATCTTCATTAATTCTGGGGCTTGGCATATAGTGACTGCTCAGTAAACATTTTAAAAAGGAACAAGGGAGGAACTTGTGTTCAGGTCATGGCCTGAAATAAATTTCCTGTGTGAAACTTGAATGCAAGTGGGGGAATCACTAATTTATTGTTATGTAAAGGAAGTAATAGTATCTATTTTCCCTTCTTTGAGATAATTGAACGAATGGGAAATGGTGAATTGTTTTTTCAAAGGTAGAAGAAAGCTCTGGAGACCTTACTGCAAGAATGAAAGAAAAATTTAAGGATCAGGCATAAAACTAGTTAGATATATATAGTTTGATTTTTGTTCCCCTGCTGTTTATAGTTGTATTTTTTTTTAAAGATTTTATTTATTTAACAGAGATCACAAGTAGGCAGAGAGGCAGGAGGGGGTGGGGGTAGGGGGAAGCAGGCTCCCTTCCGAGCAGAGAGCCGGACCTGAGCTGAAGGCAGAGGCTTAACCCACTGAGCCACCCAGGCGCCCCCTTATAGTTGTATTTGAACCAGTGATTTGATTCTAAAACTAGGCTTCTATACATTTGGGTGTTGTTGATATATACTATTTATACCTGACTTCATAACCTCTAAATTTAAACTTAATATATGGCCAGTGACATAGAAAATAGGGAGATTGACATGTTGCATTGGCAAAAAATACCTCATATTATTTTTAACTGATTGCAAATAAGGAATGAGAACAGGAGCCTAATTTTCTGCAATGCACGGCCTTGTGTTTTCTCTGTTTAAGGTTTTAATATGTGTATAAATTAGAACTATGTTCTCTGCTTTACTCATAAACCTCTTTTATATAGTGTTGTATTTTTGTCTGTTAATGATCAGGCTCTTTTGCATTTTGTATTTTCCATTTCTTATTTTTGTTTTGCTGTTTAGGTATTTAAGAGATTATGGCATCTGAAGCCCACAATGTTAAAAAACGAGGCTTTTGTAATAATATTGAGGATCATTCCACTGATCTTCCTAGAAAAAGGATCTCTAATTTTACTAATAAGAACATGAAGGAGGTAAGTGCATGGTTTCTAGGTAATGGATAAGACAGTATCTTAATCTTTTCATGCTACTATAGTAGAATACGATAGACTGGGTGACTTACAAACAAAGGAAATTTGTTTCTCACAGTTCTGGAGGCTGGGCAGAAGTACAAGATAAAAGCCCTAACCAGTTTGGTATCTGGTTAGAGCCTCTTTCCTGGCTTATAGTTGGCTGTCTTGTATGCTGTGTCCTCACATGGTAGAAAGGGCAAAGAGCTCCCTGGGGGCTCATTTATAAGGGCACTAATCCCATTCGTGAGGGCATCATCCTCATGACCTAATCACCTCCTAATATCATTCATTTTGGGCATTAGGATTTAAGTGTGAATTTTGAGGATACATGGTCATTCGGTACATCACAGATAGTTTAAACTGTTAAGTCTGTAGATAGTTTTGGTTAAATTATTTAAACAGTAGGAAGATGATAATTTGCTTAATCTCCCAGAATTAAGTGGAATTAATGAAATATTGAAAACTTTGTATTCCAAAAGCTCTAAAAACTTTATGGACAGTATGCTGTTTTAATATGATACCATTTGAATATTGTAGTTTAATTCTGAAGAGGACTCTCAGAGGTGCTTTTGTTCACCTTTGCAAGGCTCATTCATGCTGACATTTCTTTTAAACGGTATTAAAAGTCAATACACTTTTTAAGTACCATGTAAGTAAAATATATGACTAGTGGCATGGAAAATAGGGAGATGGTTATATTGGTTTGTCAAATATATCTATGCACAGTGGTGTTTAGCTACAGACCGAAACTGCTGCTTTAATCTGAAAAATTTAACTATGGAATTTCAGATTTGTTGATATCAGTCACAGAATTTACATAGCTTTACAGAAGAACGTAAATATGCTGTTAACTATCTAGTTTTATTTTTCAGGTTAAGAAATCTCCAAAACAGTTGGCTGCTTACATAAATAGGTAAGGCTTCTTTAAAGTTTGTGGGAAACAGAAGTATTGAAAGTTAGGTAAGAATGAAAAAGAGGGGGAAAAATAAGTCTTCTCTTTTATTATAATAAGTAACTTATTGTCAAATAACTCCATTATGCCAGTCACAGTGGAAAACACATCAGTATTTCTCTAATCCTTACAACAATCCTAGTAGGAAGGTATCATTGCCTCTAATAGTTGATGAGAAAAACTAACGATTTGTGATTTGTTCAGGGTCATACAGCTAGAAAGTGGTAAAAATGGCATTTATTCCCAGATCTTTTAAACTCTAAAAGCACTTTCTACTAAACTACTGGTTCTTAAAATGGATCTGAGACAGTGGGGTTCCCTTTCAGGTAGTTTATGAGGTCAAGACAATATTCATAACAATAACATTAATTAACCTTCCTCATTTTCACTCTTACAAATAGAGTTTTCCAGGGGCTACATGATATTTGATAGTGGATTGAATGCAGAAGCAGATATGAGAATCCAGCTGTCTTAACTAAATATTAGAGATTTTGTACAAACGTAAAAAATGGTGCCATTCTTCTTACTATATTTTATTTTGGAAAACAGGGTTTTTTTGGCAAAATATATGTAATAAGGTTATTATTTCTTAAAAGAATCAGTAAGTTTCCTGAGTAATACAGTAAATATCAGTAGATATTGCCCACATAAAAAAAATTTTTTGAAACCTCAATTTTTAAGAGTTGCAAGGTATCCTGAGGCCAAAACATTTGAGAATCACCATATGAAACTGTGAGGTTTGCTCTGTTGTGTTTTATCTTCTGTAAACAAATTAAATATACTTAAGTTTAATCAAAATAAGTATTCTTGGGACACCTGGGTGGCTTGGTAAAGCATTTGCCTTGGGCTCAGGCATGATCCCTGGGTCCTGGGATCAAGCCCTGCAGCAACCACCCTGCTTAGTGGTGCTTCTTCCTCTCCCTCAAACCTTCCCCCTACTCATGCTCTTGCTCCCTCTCTTTGTCTCTTTCAAATGAAAAAATAAATCTCTAAAATATATATGTATACTCATATTTGCACAATTCAAATATATTTCATTTTTTAAAAAATCTAGTTATTATGCTTCTTGGTTTAATTTGAGTATAAAGCATCCAGATGATTTGTAATTTTTCCTTTTTGTTTTCCCCTATGATCTAAGAGTTAACATTTTTAAAATTTAATTCTAATTTTAATGGATTGTGATCACAAAATGTGGCCTATTAAATCTTTCTGCTTAAAAAGTTGTAAAGGTTTTCATGTAGTTCTTTTTCATTTAAGCAAATCAATTCTTCTTACAGAACAGTTGGACAAGCTGTGAAAAGCCCAGATAAACTACGTAAGGTGATCTATCGCAGAAAGAAAGTGCATCATCCTTTTCCAAATCCTTGTTACAGAAAAAAACAGTCCCCTCGAAGTGGGGGCTGTGACATGGCAAATAAAGAAAATGAACTGGCTTGTGCAGGTCACCTGCCTGAAAAATTACGCCATGATAGTCGAACATATTTGATTAACTCCAGTGATTCTGGTTCTTCACAGACAGAAAGCCCATCATCAAAATATAGTGGGTTTTTTTCTGAGGTAAGTCATTTAAATGAACTTAATTTTAATCCCGTTATACTACTCGCTTTTTTGTCATATTCTGCTAACAAAGTCATTCATTGCCTGTTGAATTCAGACTAAGTGATTCTAATTCCCTGAGACAGTTTTCTAGATTAACCAATCTAGTTATTTGAATCAGTAGTTACTCCATTTCACTGAGTTAGTGATATCTGAGATGGAATGAAATGGTTGACAAGCTTCTATAAATATTCAGAATGGCAAGTTGGCCAGCAGAAATTTAAAGGAAAAGAAAAGAAGAAATCTGCACTAAAAAGTAGACCACCAAAACCAGTTATCCAGGAACAAACATTTTTCTTGGCTCTCGGAATTGCCATTGGAAACTTTGTTCAGGCAAGCCTGCTAAGGTTTGCTGCTCTTCTAGCTCAGGTGAAATTAGATGTTTGAACAGGCTCAAGGGAATTTGGGGGGGGGGGGGGGCAGGTTTGAAAGAAATATTCTAAAACTGGTTTGTAATGATGGTTGTATAATTCTGTAAATTTATTAGAAATTGTATTACATACTTTCAGTTGGAGAGTTTTATGATATAACGCCTCAAAATTTTTTTTAAAAGATCATTTGAAGGACTAGTTTAGGAACATGAGTTTATAATAATTATTATTACATATTTATTATATATGTTGTAGAAAATGAACCCAAAGGAAAAAATTATTCATAATCTCAACATTTGGAAATAACAGTATTAAATTTTTGACATATCTTTTCTCTTCATATTGTACATGTTGCTTGATTACTTGATTTTTATGTTTAATAAATTTGGATTTTTTTCCATGTAATTAAATAATCCTTCTACAATTTTTTGATGGATACATAATGTTAATTTCTTTTACTATGATTTGTTAAACCTAGTATTGTTTCTATCTGGCATGACAGCTTGAAAAACATTTTCTATGGCATATAAACAGAAAAATATTTTTTTTAAGATTTATTTATTAAGAGAGTGCACATGTACAAATGAGGGAGGGGTGAAGGAAGAGGAAGAGAGAATTTCAGGTGGATTCCTGGCTGAGTGCCGAGCCCCACACAGGACTCCATGTCATGAACTGAGATCATGACTAGAGCAGAAACCAAGAGTCTAAGCTTAATCAACTTGAGCCACCCAGGCACCCCAGAAAAAAAATTTTTTTTTTTAAAGATTTTATTTATTTATTTGCCAGAAAGAGACACAGTGAGAGAGGGAACTCAAGCAGGGGGAGTGGGAGAAGGAGAAGCAGGCTTCCCGCCAAGCAGGGAGCCTCATGTGGCACTTGATCCCAGGACCCTGGGATCATGACCTGAGCTGAAGGCAGATGCTTAACAACTGAGCCACCCAGGCACCCCCCCACCCCAAAATTGGTTTTAATTAAAATGGTCATAGTGCATAGGTGAATGAAAATGAGCATCACGTTTAGAATAATAATTATGAGTAAGATGAAAGAAAGATGGAAATTTAAATGTTACTAAGTAAAACCATGATAAAATGATGCAAAAAAAATTGTATTTGCCAGTGAGTATGTTCTTACTTGTAAAAATAAGATCCTGGAGTAATAGAAAGTAATTCCAGGTGAAGTGAAGGAAGTGCATATAGAATCTGTGAGAAGAAAGGAAGTAGGGGGGCACTGGGTGGCTCAGTCACTTAAGTGTCTGACTTTTTGTTTCCACTCAGGTCATGATCTCAGGGTCATAAGATTGAGTCATGGGTAGGGCTCCAGGTTCAGGGTGGAGTCAGCTTGGGATTCTCTTCCCGTTTCCTCTCCCTCCCCTTCTTCTCTTCCCGTTTCCTCTCCCTCCGCTTCTTCCCTTCCCTATGCGTATGTGTATGCTTGCTCTCTCTCTCTAAAGTAAATAAATAAAATCCTTTAAAAAAAAAAGGAATCAGGGACTATTTGATTTAATAGTGAATTAACATGGACCCTAGAGAATAGGATGGTAACCAGACTTAGTGTTAAAGAGAATCACTGTCGTGCTAATTCATTCATAAATACTTTTTGAGGGCTCCCAACTCTGTAATGCATTCTGCAGGCTCTGAGGAATTACATTGGTAGATGAAAAACAGGCACTGCTCCTACTTTAATGTAGTTAGAGAAGTGACGAGGCCCAACACTAGTCAAATAATCAAAGAAACTACATACCCTGAAGAAAAAGAACATACAATTATATAACCCAGAAATCTGGCCTAGATTGGGACCTAAGTTGGTTTGTCAGTTGAATTGAGGGAACAAACATTCTGAGTGCAAATACCTTTAAAGATTTTATTTATTTATTTGACAGAGATCACAAGTAGGCAGAGAGGCAGGCAGAGAGAGAGGAGGAAGCAGGCTCCCTGCCGAGCAGAGAGCCCGATGTGGGGCTCGATTCCAGGACCCTGAGATCATGACCTGAGCCGAAGGCAGAGGCTTTAACCCACTGAGCCACCCAGGCGCCCCTGAGTGCAAATACCTTTAAAACAAACAAAAAAAAGCTTCAGTTGTACATTTGAATTCGTGCCATGGTGAGTCATTTTTTTTCAAGGTCCCCCTTTTACTTGCTCTCATTTTGATTACTTGCACAAACCTTCCCTAACAAGACAATAAGTTTATTGATCTTTTTTTTTTTTTTTTTTAAGATTTATGTATTTTGAGAGAGAGTGCTCTTGTTCATGCAGTGGGGAAGAACAGAGGAAGAGAGAGGCTTAAGCAGACTCTGCGCTGTGTAGCCCAACACAGGGCTTGATCTCACAATCCAGATATCATAACCTGAACCAAAACCAAGAGTTGGTTGCTTAAGCAACTGTGCCACCCAGGAGCTCCCTATCTTTTGTTATTTCATACCTTTTTTACTGACTCACTAATTTCTGCTGTAAAAACCTAAATCTAAAAGTGGTAACATTATCTTGTCGAAATTCAAGTACTCATAACCTTTTGACCCAACAGTTCTATGCCTATGTATATATATATACCCAAGAGAAGTGAAAACATATGCCCACACAAACATTTTATAAACAGATGTTTATAACATTCATAATAGCCCAAAGTGGAAACATTCCAAATGTCCTTCACCTGATGTATGGATAAATAAAATGTCATATATTCATACAGTGGAATATTATTTGGCCATTATAAAGAAGTACAATACCAGTATATGCTACACTATGTATAAACCTTGAAAATATTATGCTTTGTGAAAGAAGCCACATCAAAAAAGCCACATATTGGATAATTCAGTTTATATGAACTGTCCAGACTAGGTAAAGTCATAGAGACAAAAAGTAGATTGATGGTTGCCAGGGGCTGGAAAGAAGGGAGAATGGAGTTCAGGGTTTCTTTTAGGGGTGATGAAAATGTTGATTTTAAAATTGATTGTGGTGATGGTTGTACAATCCACAGATACACTAAAAACTACCAAATTATACATTTTAAGTGGTTAAGTTTTATGGTATGTGAATTATACCTTAGTCTGTTATTTAAAAAAATGGATCTAGTTGTTGTGGTCCTAAAATTAATCTTACCAAAGTGTATGTATAAGTGTACATATTTACATACAAAAGGATGTTCACTGATGCATAGTTTTAATAGGGAAAAACCAAAATCAATCTAAATAAATTTTAGTATATAACAACTGGAGACTATATAATTATTTTTTAATTATGAGGTTGATCTATGCTTTGACATTAAAATCTTTATAATATATAAGTGAAAAATCAGGTTTTAAAAAACACAGCTATAATAATATTTTAATTTTGTATCTATAATTTGTCTGTCTAGAAATGATTTGGAAAGATGCATACCAGTCTGTTAACTTTGATTACTTCTGAGAAGTATTACTAGATTTTATCTGGGCAGATAGAGATTATTCACTTTTTCTTTGATACAGTTCTGTGCTATTTGAGCTTTTTACAATAGGAACATATTACCTTATTATATTAAAAAATGACTGAACGAATTTAAATACTGGTCATAGAACTGAATTTTTGTGGTTCCCTTCCCATGTTATTCAGTATATATTTACCTTTGCCTTTAATCCTCAAAATAAATTAAATCCTAGGTTTGTAGGTGAGTTACAAATAATTTATTTTATAAATTGAGATTTTAAAAGAAAATGGTAACAGATAAAAAGTACTGATAAAAAAATAAACAAGTGCTGGGGACCTGGGTGGCTCGTTGGTTAAGGGTCTGCCTTCTGCTCAGGTCATGATCCCAAGGTCTTGGGATAGCTATAGTCCCGCATTGGGCTCTCTGCTTGGTGGGAAGCCTGCTTCTCTCTCTCCCACTCCCCCTGCTTGTGTTCCTGCTCTTGTTGTCTCTCTCTCCCTGTCAGATAATCTTTAAACAAACAAACAAAATAAACAAGTCCTGGGTGGCTGGGTGGCTCAGGTCATGATCCCAGGGTTGTGGGATTGAGCCCTACATGAGGCTCCCTGCTCATCGGGAAGCCTGTTTCTCCCTCTCTCACTCCTCCTGTTTGTGTTCCTGCTCTTGCTATTTCTCTCTGTCAAATAAATAAATAAAATATTTTTTAAAATAAATAAATAAACATGTCCTAAATTTATTCAGATCATTTGTTTACTGTGTTCAACTGCAACATTCCTTTTTTGGGGTCAGTAAAAGGAGTCACCTATGCATAATTTTAAAACATGTCTACCAGAATAATTTAATTGGAAAAAAATGGTTTCATGTCATGTTTCAGTATGTTTTTTAACAAAGTAGATTACTGCCTTTCAGGTTTCTCAGGACCATGAAACAATGGCACAGGTTTTATTCAGCAGGAATTTGAGATTGAATGTAGCTTTAACATTCTGGAGAAAGAGAAGTATAAGTGAACTTGTAGCTTATTTGGTGAGGTAAGTGTGACCTTTTATGCTTTTGTTCAGTTAAGTAATTTCCATGTTTTATCTTGAAGTGCCTCTTCTTTTTTGTGTTATGCCGGCTAAAATTCTAAACTTCCTTCATTTAGCTTCAATAGCAACAATACAGTTGGTTGTTTTTTGGGTTGGTTTTTTTTTTTTGCAACAATATAGTTTAAATTACATTTATCACCAGTCTAAGAGTAGCCAAAATACAGAAAACCATCTGTTTCATCATATTGAACAAAGCTATTACCTTCTCTAGGATCCTTACATGTAAAACTAAGAGATACCAGTTTGGGAGAAGTAACCTTTTAAAAATCCCCTTTGAGTCAAAATTTTAAGCATGGCTTTCCTCAGTATATTCAAGTCTCTTCTCAAACATCATCTCTTGAATGAGAGGGCAGGTGGGGAGCGTGGGGAGTGAGGGTGGCAAGCAGGCAGAGGGGGAGGGAAAGAGTCTTTGAGCACTCTCTTTGCTCAGAGCCCCACACGTGGCTAGATCTCATGTTCCTGAAATCATGACCTGAGCCAAAATCCAGAGTCGAATGCTTAACCTTCTGAGCCAACCAGGCATCCCAGTTCTCTAATATTATCTTAATAAGGCCTTCCCTGACCACCTTGTTTAAAAATACATATTTCTTCACTCCCTGTCTCTCCTGTTTTATTTTTTTCCATACCACTTACTACCGTCAACTTGCTCTGTATATTTTACTTGTTATCTGTCTCTGCCTTCTTCCACACCAGATCCCCACATACACTCTGAAATACAAGTACTGTCTCTTTGTTTACTGCTGCATCCCCAGCACCTGGCTCATCGTAGAGACTCAGATTATTTGCTGAATGAGTAAATTTCTCAAAAGCAGTGTGAAGGTTATAAATAAGGAAATCAGCACTCTAAGCAGTTTTATACCCACAGGATAGAAGACCTTGGAGTTGTTGTGGATTGCCTTCCTGTGCTCACCAATAGGTAAAAATATTTTTCAGAAAAAAAGTAAGTTTAAAGAAGGACAAATGACTTGTACTTATTTTTACAACTTAGTTTTTATTTTAGTTTACAGGAAGAAAAACAATACATCTCACTTGGCTGCTGTGTGGATTTGTTGCCTCTAGTAAAGTCCCTACTTAAAAGCAAGTTTGAAGAGTAAGTGCTAATGTGGCTCTCAATTCATTTTTCTCTTTCAACATCCTTGATTTTGTTGCTTTTGAGTGCCTGTCACGAGACATGCATGGTTTCTGTTTCCAAGGAGCATATAGCCCAATTAGGAAAAGAATATGAACTGATTGAAGAGTAATTACAAAAGCATCTATAGGGACGCCTGGGTGGCTCAGTTGGTTGGACGACTGCCTTCGGCTCAGGTCATGATCCTGGAGTCCCGGGATCGAGTCCCGCATCGGGCTCCCGGCTCCGCAGGGAGTCTGCTTCTCTCTCTGACCTTCTCCTTGCTCATGCTCTCTCTCACTGTCTCTCTCTCAAATAAATAAATAAAATCTTTAAAAAAAAAAATTAAAAAAAAAAAAAGCATCTATAAACAACTTAAATAAACTACAGCTTTTTAAAGTACCAAATTGGGAAAAATCAGTGTGAATATGTGCTTTTTGAGGTGGGGGAAGAGTGTGTCTTTTTTGTAAAGGCTTTTGGGTGAAAACACTTGAATAACAAAATGTCATTTCAGATATATAATAGTTGGTTTAAACTGGCTTCAAGCAGTCATAAAAAGGTGGTGGTCTGAACTGTCATCCAAAACAGAAATTATAAATGATGGGTGAGTATATCTTTAAAAATAAACTTAGTCTAATAAAATATTTTTTTCAGGAAAGTGGTTTGATTAAGCCAGGTTATAATTCTGTTCCATGATCATCATTAAATAAAAGTTTATTTTCTTTTCAGAGAAATATTAAATTGAAATAGTGTTCACATGTGAAAATTACATATGGAAATTTAATTCCAGAGTCCAATAACCTCCTTTATCTCTTTCTCTGGCAGAATCTTATACTTCGTTTTAGGAGAAAATAGCACAACTGTGGTTTAACCCTCATACCTGTTACAATGAGTAAGGGAGAAAAAAAGAGATGGCTTTTGGTGGGTTAAGTATTGAGGCACAGGGATGGAAGCATCCTGTATCCTATAGGTCTTTTGACTACGTAAACATTAACCTGAGAATCCAATGTGGATGATCATAATTCTAAAAATTATACTATAATCATCATAATTTGAATATTGCCTTCATGTAAAAATATGTGGGTATTCTACCAGATGAATCAGATTATCATGAAGCTGCAAAAAAATATCTCCCAGCAGTCTTAAAAATTTTCTCTCTAGGCTCTCAAAAATTTCCCACTTCATACCCAAGACCAGGTTGTCCAAATGCTGCTCCAAATGTCTAGTTTTCTTTCCTACTTTAACAAATAAGTAATCTTTAATTTCCGAGATTGACAAGTAGTATTTTAAAGAGTTGCTTCATTTCAAATGGTACAATTTCTCCTGATAAATACTTGAAAATTTAAAACTGTATTCATTAAGTGCTATTTACAAAGTCCATGTTCTTATATTTGCATTCTTTTTTCTTTTCTCATAGAAATATTCAGATTTTAAAACAACAATTAAGTGGATTATGGGAACAAGAAAACCATCTTACTTTGGTTCCAGGATATACTGGTAATATAGCCAAGGTAAAAAAAGTTAACTTAAAAAGTAATGCTTAAAATATCTATTTAAGCTTAATTGAATATTAGAAATAATATATTAGTATTACGCATTTATATATGAAGTCTTTCAAATGTCCAATACAGTACTATTCTAATAAAACCTAAAATCAGTTTCGTATTTACAAATGTGTAAGGTCCTCTGGATATGAATCTGATTTTGGCAAGGAACACAGGAATTAGCCCTTGAATGTGTTTCAGGTGCACCTGTGGAAGTGAATTGCGAGAGGGAGTTTAATGAACTAGCTCCAGCTAGAGAAAAGGTTAAGAAGGCATCCAGAAAGAGTGACACTCAGAAAGCAAGGGGTGAGGAGTGTAACAAATGCTTTCAGGATATTATTTTTCACTTGGCTTTTGCTAATGTCATGCTTTTGGAACAGTAAATGTTCAGATCACAGTATGAATTTGACATTGTTCTTTATTTATTTTCTTAGCTCTTAAAGGAAAAGATATATTGCTCATTTGGATTTTAATATTTAAACTCCAGAAAACATTGGTAGTTTAAATATAATTGCAGAGGGAAAAAAATCACTATTAAAAAATATTTGCACCCTTTTACTGGGCATACTGCTATCAGAAATGGTCATTATTCAGAAATATACAAGCATTCTTTAGTTTAAAATATACAGTATTCTAAGTAAGAGGTATTGTATTGTGGACTTAATTGTGAAATTCTCCTTGGATACCTTCAAGAAAAGAAGCAAAAATGATGTCTCAAACAAGTATGTGACCACTTACATAATTTTACTCTGTAGAATTCTTAATGATTAAAATCTTATAAACAAATATCAATTTCCCAGTTTTTTATTGTCGTTTTAGTTCTTTCAATAATGAGGGGGAAATGAAGTAAAAGTTGATAGAAAATGAATATAGAGTATGTATTATATATCACCTGTTCTGGAGGTACCATGCATTCTTGTTAGTAGTACTGAAAATATATTGTCTCCTTAGAAATCTGCTTTCAATTACAATATTTTATAAAGAGAGAAACTTTATTTTGATTATGACTCTAGATACCATATTTATTATTGAAGACAGTATTGAGTGATTTTAAAAGTTCTGTGAAGTTTCTTAAATTGTGATTAAACCTCTTTTACAGTGTTAAGCCCTCAATTGCAATTTTTCCAGGGTAGAAATCAGAAAGGCCGTCCTCAGGCTGGGCTAGAGTGTATATAGCACTAAAGGAATTGCTGGGAATGATTTAATGATTTTGCTTAGCTATAAAGGCAGAGTTGTTTGATCACAGGAACCAGAACATTCACTCAGCACCTAACAAACATTTATTGAGCATGTGCCATCTGCTAGACACCGTGCTAAACGCAGCTAAAAAAGTTTAGTACGACACATTTTTTACTCTCAGAAGATCACAAGGAAGCTAAAGCAAATTAAGTGATAAGGGAGAAGAACATGGAGTGTGCATGTGTGTATTTACTGTACCAGCTAATGAAATGTTTTTTGTTTTGTTTTCTAAGGATGTAGATGCTTATTTATTACAGTTGCATTGAGAGACTTCATCTACTAAAGAGCATTTGATTATTCAAAACATCCCCAGACTAGATTTCCAAAAAAAAAAGAAAGAAAGAAAGTCTCACTTGAGAACTGTGAACTGTGGAAGAGATCAAAATCTTTTTTTTTTTTTTTTTTACTTTAAAAAGCCACATACAAAACCACTAATGAAACCCTAGCAATCTACTTCACATTGAAGTGGAAAAATATCCAAAAGGAGCAGCTTCAACTTCAAAGAGGTGAAAATGCACTATGAAGATTGTTCGCCTTTGCTGCATTTGGGATTTATATGGTTATTTGGTAACATTGTTTAAGAACTACTGGGTCTTAATGCAGTCCTGCATAAGAATATAATTTATACTATGTCAGAAAGAAGACAGGACTTACTACTAGGAATCACAAAAACCAATCATCGTGACTTTTGTGAAGACTGTGTTTTATAAGAAAACACTTAAACGTGTGCAGCTATTTTCTTATTTTGAAAAGACTTTGCAAGTTTAAAATGTCATAGCAAATAATCAATACTAAAAATTTGTCCACACTGAGATACTGTGTATACAAAATGCCTTAATTATTAATAAGCCAATGCATATGATACCAATATCTGTTTAAAAAAATTAAAACCAACCATGCTTCTGGCACGATAAGATCATGGAATTAAATCAGGGGTTTCCACTCATGTAAAATGTTGTTAAAACTATTCCATACCATTTTTAAAACTTGAGAATATTTTTAGTATCTCTGATTTTTCTTTTTGCCAGAATCATTGTGTCATGTGTATGTGTTATTACTATATAAAAGAAAAAGGTGAATATGTATTTCTATGAATGCTTAACTAGAAATGTCCATGGAGTTGGCTAATTTATATTCACTTTTTATTGTATATAGAATCCTAATATTTTCAGTTCTGTATCATTTAAGCTTTCTTCATTTGAGTAAATTCACTAAATATTTCTATTTTTTGCTTTTTTAAATTCTGCTTTTATATCAGTTCTAATTCTTTTTCACTACTTATATTTTAAGGAATTACATACAATGCTTTAGAACTGTTTACAGTTAATGCTGACCTTGTGTTCTAAATTCCAACACTTTACATTACTACCTCCTCCAATGGTTGATATGAAATGCCAGCAGACTGTCTGAGGTCTTTTTTTTTAATACCATTTTTAGTGTCAATGAACCCACTTCTGGAATGTCTTAACAGCTGCATATCTTATCTTGAAAATGATAGGGATTCAAAATACCACTGTTGATGGTTTGTGCATCATCTCATCTTTATAACCCTGAGAGGTATCTGAGTAAAGATTTTTAGTAATTGAATTTGTCTCCAGTAATCCTACAAGCACTTGAATGTAAATCTTTAGCATTTATCCAGTTAGCCACTACTGATGTGAATCCCAAGCAACTTTTTTGCTTTAAAAATGTTATCTTTCATTGAGTTCTATTTTTTGTGTAGCTGTATTTTATATAGCTATGTATTCCTCACAGCGAACATCAATTTTAATAATTGGCTCTTTTCTTAAGTCTTTAGAATAATTTAAGATTACTGCATTTCTGTGATTTGAGAGTTATTTAAGAAGTTGTTTTTCAGGAGGTGGGAATTTGAATAGTAAACCTGCGTCATCTCTGTGAAACCTTAAGATGATAAAATAGAACCTTTCTTTGTTCCTATTTCTTTAGTTATCACTGTCTTATCTAACACTTTGAACCAGTTAACTCAGTTGGAGCATGGTGCTAATGCGGCTAAGGATGGGAGTTCAATCCTTTTATAGGTCCATTAACTTTACCCACGTACACAGAACTCTTCATAGCTACAGATTGCCACTTGTAGGTATATATCTCGCAATTCAGCTCTTAGTCACAGGGAAGGTGATGAGTATAGCTTAGCATAAGCCTTTCATCTCAAATGGAAAGCTTAAATAATTGGTATATGTGATACTATAGACTTTTAATCTAATATTTAAATTAAACATAATGTAATATCTAAAATATATGTCACTATAATTTTCTCTGGGTAAGACCATTTTCTAAATGGTATCTTTAAAAAAATTAAATTTCAATAAATTAAGGTTCAGTAAAAATTAGGTACAAATACAAATAAAACATAGTAAGAAAAGGTGAAATCCTGTTAACACTGAGTTCTTGTGCCTAAGTTTGGGTTTATTAAAGGAAAGCATGCTTGGTGCTATACAAGGCAGCAGAGTCTTTAGTTCACACATACTATTCAGTATCACACAACTCCTAATTTCTGTTCTTGGCCTTTGCAGTTTACGTTAGTACCTACTTTTCTCAGTTATGAGTTATGATTAGTATTATTTTTAGTACAAATTTTTGATAAAAGATGTTAGATAAGTAAATATTGTTGAACACTTCGGTTGCTCTTAAGCTCCTCGCATGCTGTTTAATCAGAACAGTGTTGATTTGATCTCCAGAAAGAGCCAAAGAAAGAGTTTACAAAGTATTTTGGCTCTTGTACTGACCTAGATTAGAATAGTTGCTGTCTGTCATTGCTCATTTGATATCACGCTGCTAAGCAGTATCCAGAACTGAGGGACTACCCAACATCTCTATGCCTTTTTACCTCTTCTACCGTCTTAGGTATTCTGTACTTGACTTTGCTAACTTTGCAGGTCTAGGGACGTGAAGTTTATTGAGGTAATGGAGGGTTAGAATCAAGTAATCAAGTAATTTGCTTCTGCTAGAGATAAAGCGAATGGATTTTGTAATTGGTCATGATCAGAATAAAGGTTAAAAGGAAGCAAGCATTATCAGATGGTTTTTAAAATTAATCTTTTGGCAGTAATTTCAAAAGTAATTGACACATTATTTACTTGAATCCTGAGATGTGAGGATTTGGATCTAAATCCTGTATCCACTTTGGGGAATCATTAATATCAGGACTAAACTCTAAGGACTACTGAGGAATTAAATCTAAATGACCTTGAACATTCTTGATACATGTTATGTCCTAATCTTAAAAATGGTCATTTAGATTCAGAGCTACATTTGTGGCCTTTGAAATAGGCCAACTTAGAACATTTCTGTATTTGGCAAGTTGTGGATATAATTAACATTAGAGGATGATTTGAGAAATGGTTATTAGCTATTAAATGCTGATAATAGGAATAACATTTAGATAGTTACTTAAATTACTTAAATTAATCAAGGAACTTGAAAAAGCAAAAATTAAGTTAGTATTTTAGCAATCATTCCCAGTTATCTTTCTTCTTAAGAGCAAGATGGTAATGTCAGTTACCTTTGTTGATTTAAAGAAAAAAAAAAAAAAGAATCACAAGCAACTGACTTAAATGGAGTGATCCATTTGGAAGCACTACTTATCTTTCAATATGGACTTTTATTTTCTGGATTTACTTCAAATGGAAATAATATTGCTGGACATTGTTGGTAGGTATTTATTCACTCCTATTCATTCTCCCTTAATTTCTAACTCTAACTATGAAAATTGTCATAAAACTTTCCCAACTATTCCTGTTCCTTTTTTATTCTGTAACAAGAATATAGAATAAAATATTCATCCCTAAACACTATATGCTTCTAATTTGTAAGATAGCTTGATTAATTCAGTAACAGCATCAAGTATAACAATAAGAATACTGCATATTATATACCTAGTATAACAAGTATATTTTCCAGTTCTGTACTTAAAATAACATTTAAAATATTGTAGTCAGTGTAATGTTCTATGGGTCAGATCATTGACTTAACAGCATCTGCTAAAATCAAGCGTCAATAAAAAGTACATATAAAACACTGTGTGTGTATATATGTATATATACACCCATATGTATATATACATATACATGTACATATGTATATATACATACACAAACACACACACACCCCCCACAGTATTTTCTCTTATAGACTATAATAAAACACAAAAAGACAGTGACTGTGTACCAGTTCTGTGAAAGGACAGCCCTAGAGCTACCTGTATTTTTCATAACAAAGCTTGTTATATGTTATTGCTTTAATAAACAGAATTAATATTATCTGAGCTACAAAGTTTTCAAATAAGAGATGTCAGGATTCTAGATGAGGATTCAGCCCCCAAATACACTTGAACTAGTATTGATTTTTTTTCACATATACACCCATTATTACACAAGGTATACCTCAAAAAAAGTATAACATAGGTCAAAAATTTTAAAGTATTGTTTATAATATAACAAATATCACCCACCTTAAATAAAGTACCACAGATACAATTGAAACCCCATGTGTACCTTCCCCTGTCCCATTATTTCCTTCCTCCAAGGTGACTTGCTCTTCTAAATACACCCCTGTCATCCCCCTATGCATTTTACAATTTTCATGTAAATAGGGTCCCACTACACATCCTCTGTAATTTGCTGGGTTTTGCTTAATATACTATATTATATTATATTTTTAAGATTCATGTCTGTCAATACACATGGCTCTAGTTCATTTGCTTCCAGGATGATATGATATTCTGTTGTAAAAATATACCCTCATATATTTGTCCATTTTGTTGGTGATCTAAGTATTTGAACTACTATTGATTCTTATCCTTTTTAGTATTCTGTATTTTCATTTGGATTTAAACCAGGATTTTTTTTTATTTTTTTATTATTATTTTTTTTTACAATGTCTTGGACCTGGCCAAGACTGTTGTGACACTATGAATTTATACCATAGCCAAGAAGAGTTGATCTAAGTATTTTCTAGGGTAAGAAAAAGTTGTGGTAGTTCTGGAATACAGTGAATTGCCAGAATTACTTGCTTCTAGAATGAGCAATGTTGCATTTATCAACCAAACCTGCAACATGGAGCGGATTAGAATTAGATGTCACCTTCCTGAAGTCAGGAGGAAAGTTTTTAGCATTCGTTTACTTTTCTACTTCGATTTAAAAAGAAAGAGGAAAAAAAAACTTCATTTGCCCTTTGTATAAATTTAGTTAAATAGGTGAATGAGGGCCTAATTCACCCCTCACTTGCCCTGCAGTCCACTCACCAGTTCCTTTCTGTAAAACTGTAGTTTAGCCTCAACAACAGCAGGAAAAATGAAGATTGATACTTTTAGGCAGATTTTAAAGCTTCAGAAAGCTTTAGAAAAGCCCTGTCTTTCCCTTTACCCATCCAGATTCCATTTCCTCTACTACGAATAGATTGGAAATCAGTAAAGGGGATACCCAACTCACTTTTCAGTCTCTTCTTTTGAAGGCTTCTCTGCCTGTCCCTTAGATGTTGGTGTTCAAGGTTTTATTTTAAGGTCTCTTCTCACTACCAGTTCCCTGAAAAACGTTTATTCCTGTGACTTTCTTTACTATACATTAATTGTTCTCATTTTGGGGATGGACAGGAGGCCACTTTTTGGCGGATCAAATGGATGTGGATTTTTTTTAAAGGTTGTGAAAACACTGAACTGTACGTTTATCATTCTGAAATAGAGATCTTGCCCTAAATCTCTTAGCTCATAAATTATACATGCAATTGCCTACAGGAACATCCAACGGGACATCTTGTAGACATACTAAATTTGGTATATCCAGAATTGACTTCATTATCCACCTCCACTCCCCTCCATCAACACTACTCACCCCTGACTCCTACCCCCACCCCATCGCCCCAGGGACAGAAGGTATTCTGCTTAGGTCCTGGGCTTCCATTCTCACTGAATAGCCCTAATATCAGCAATTATCAAGTTGCAGAACTTTGAATCATCATCCTTTGAATCATCAAATCCTTGGTGCGACTTCCTCAATTTCTCTCATCTTTCTGTATCTCTCCACCTCTCCTGCCATTATCTTAGTCTGCATTAATTTCAGCAGCCCCCAGGCTGGTCTCGCACTGGTCCTGCATCTCTATATGCTATCCTTCACACATGCTGCCCCAGAATGGTCTATAAAGCACAAATTTTCTCTTAAAGCCTCTTAGAGTGAACAGTATGATTTACAATCATACTGTGTGTTGACTGCACTTCTTCCCTTCTTCCAGTACTTCAGCTAGAATGAACTCGTTTCAATTTCTGGGAAAACTGCAAATGCTGAAAACATTCTTTGCAAATGGTTTTGTTTGCCTGAACATTCTTCCCGAGTTCTCATTTATCATTTTCTTAATGTTCAGGTCTCAGCTTAAACACAGTTTAAACACGTCTTAAAACTGTTAAGAGGTATTTGCTGCACACTCTTATCTTAACCCTGTTCTCCTAACATGACCGATATATGTGTTTTCTAATTGTTCATCGGTCTTTCCAACTAGATTGGTAACTTCATGGGGCCAGAGACTATATTCTCTGTCACATCTCCAGTACCAAGCACAAAGCCTGGCAGGCAGTAGGCATTGATTCTTAATTGCATTAATTTAATTGCATTAAATTAATGCAAGGATGTGACATCTTTGGGCATACATCAAGGAAGTAATTGAATAATCCAAAGCTGTTTGTGATAGCAGCTAAAATGTGTAATTTTAGAATAAAAATACCCAGTTTTCTTACCTCACTTTTTTGTTTTAGGAAGTTGGTTTGTAAATGTTCATGCTACAACAGATAAAACCTGTTTGATTCTTAAAGGTTGTTACGTTTGTTTTTCTATTGTATAGTTTCTACATTTCACACAACATCCATGTAAAAGAGGACCATCTATAAAGTACAAAGTGAAGGTATTTTCATGTAATGTGTAAAACACATA